CCCGTCAGAACGTGTAAGAAGCGCCAGGGTGGCGGGGAATGGATGTAGGCCTGGTGCAGGCCGGGGCTACTCCGAGCGGTGAGTGAGCGGGCTCACCTGAGCAGAGGTACCGGGACAGGGCTGGGCGCTCTGCCCCGTCCCAGCCGGGCTCTAACACTGCCGGCCCGGGTGGCTCCTCCAGGCTCTGTCCCCAGCACTGCCCGTACCTTGAAGCTGTGTCCCTGTGCCTTGCTACAGGCTACACTTGTTCGAGGATCTCTGCCTCAGAGTTGGAGGTTTTCTGTAGTTTGTGCACTGCAAGCCGAGCATAGCTGTTGGAACAGGCATCATACTGTCCAGAGGCCTTGAAAAAAGATCCGTTGTGTCATAACCACTGGAAATGGTCTTTAGGATAGTGTCCAGAGGCCTTGAAAAAGATACACTCTTCATACCGAGATGACCTCCACGGTCTACAACCTGCATTGTGCTTTACTGCTCTGGTGCATGGTGGAATGCCCTGCAAGCTGAAACACAGAAAAAACTTTTTTCCTGTGAGGGCGACAGAGCCCTGGCCCAGGCTGCCCAGGGAGGATGTGGAGTCTCCTGCTCTGGAGACTTTCAAACCGACCTGGACACGTTCCTGTGTGACCTGCTCTGGGTGATCCTGCTCTGGCAGGGGGTTGGACTGGGTGATTTTTTGAGGTCCCTTCCAACCCCTGACAGTCTGTGATTCTGTTACACTTAAACACCCCTTTGGCCTTGTTTCAGATATGGTTACTGGGCTAGAAGCTGATAGTTCATGTAGTGTGAGGCTGTGTGTGTAACTTTAATTTGTTTACATTGGAGCAAAGAACTTAAGTAATGAGATATCTTAGCAGTCAGGTTTTTGGTTTTTATAAGACTATTGAGTTTTAGGCATGTGACTGACAGTTAATATATTATTGTCAGATGTTAACATAATGTAAGGCTTGTATTTAGTGTCACTTGAAACACTGCAGGTAGGAGTGGAGTGTCAGATGTGTTCTGGATGTTTCGCAGTAACTTGTAGAAAAACAAATCTTTAGATTTTAGAGAGAATAAATGGGGAGGAGCTGAAGGTGGTGAAAAAGAAATGGAATTGCCACCATCTCCAGAAGTTCTTAACTCATGGGAACTTGTACAACATCAAAAATTGGGATTCTTTTTCCATTCCCACCCGGAGAGGCTTCCCTCAGGTCACTTGTTACTTTATGAAAGAAATATTGCTTGTTTCTTTTATTTAATTTTCAACAGCAGCCAGTCACAAAGCTAAACGCATCAGTAAGCAAAACTTCCAATCAAAAGCTTGTCAAGCTGTAATTTCTGCCAAAATGTCATGGGAATCTACAGAGAAGAATAATATCCTCACTCAGTGTATTGGAGACCTGGAAAAGAGAACAGAAGTTTGGGAAGGAAATGATATTCATAGGAAAATAAGACATTCATTCATTCAAAAAAAATTTTTAATTTTTAGTGCCAGTGAGCTCTGGGAAAAGAACAGTTCTTTGAGCAACAGTGTTATATTTATGTCCTAAAGCTGCAAAAAATTAGAAGGTTGAATTCATATTGTGCAGTCCAACCAGGCATGTGATCCCAAGTTGATTGTGAGAGTAACAACCTAGTGCTTTCCCCTAACTTTAGGAGTGCAGTAACTGGTGGCAGTGCTCTCGCAGGCGGAGCTTTCTGCCATCTCTGTACCCAACTGGAATGTTGGCTGCTATATGTGTGTATGGGGAGTTGGAAACAGATGTACTCTAAAGCTCGGAATGGCTTTCGTTTTCATCTCGCCACTTTTACTTCTGACTCTGAAACTGCAAAGGAGGTACTTTGTTCTTACGTTGTGCGAATGTACGCGCAAAAAATGTCATATTGAGGAACTGCAGTCTGTCACATAATTTATCACCCATACAAGTGGCAGATTTTCTGTGTTCTGCTTGATACTATCTTCTGATATCTGTTGTTTACTTCCTGCAATTGAATGAATCATTGACTTGTTAGCTTGTAATAACTTCCTTTGGACTGGTTATTTCAGCTGCTGCAGCTATTTTTGAGCTTTTTTTAATCTGAAAAAAAAAGTAGGATCTCATAGACAAAAATACATGAGCAAATAAAGAATTTGCAGCTGCTTTGCATGTGCTTTTTCAAAAACAGGAGAAAAAGATTTTTACACTGTTCAGCTGGAAGTAGTGAGAATCTTAAATATGGATGTGGAAAAACTGGCAGACAAGCGCAGACATGAATGAATAAGCAGTGCATCCTGTTGCATGGAATGACAGCATGTAGAGTGCTGGCCTGCCAATAACAATCAAAGATGATGCCCTTAGGAAGAGGAGGTGAGAAAAAACAAGGTGAGGAGAAATGATTTCTTCTTACTACCAGTACAGCAGTGCTGATGGGAACATCAGGTTCTGCCTTGGGGTTAAAATTAAAGTGTGTTAAGAGAACTTAAACGTCTGTTTTTCCCATTGGATTTCTTTCTGCCTTTGTTGAACGATGCAAGGCTTTTGCATCAAGTTCAACAGAACTAGAATGGCATTCCTTCTTTTTGCTTCTGTACAAACTAGTGGGGTTCTTAATTTTAAATTTTGGGGGTTATATGTTTGTTTAGAATAGAACCTTTCCAATTGCTTTTGTGAGACAGGGAGGAATCTTAGCTCTCTGTGCACATGCACACACATATTTTGCTAAAGCTTTAAAGCAAAAAAACAAAGCTTGATTTTTAAAATCCGTATGGAACAAGTAAGCTGCTGCCATTCTTGATGAGCTTATATTTTGCCACTTGTTGAAAGTACAGTGAGAAGTTATAAAAGAGGAAAGCAGGGTTAATATATTTAATGGCGAATAAAATTTTTTCGTCAAGGTTTCAGACAGCTTTGTTTACTTGGTTTCCTGTTATTTATTGTCTTAAAACAAATGGTGTGATATCAAAAAAAAGTCGCCTGAGGGAAAGCTTCCAAAGAATCACCTCCTCGGAACTGTCTTGTGTAGTTTATTTGTTAAGTTTTTTCCCATTGGGTAATGCCTGTTCACTGGTCAAACAGGTCTGCAGGTCACACAATTACAGTTTTGTTAAATATATCTATGGTGATGCTTCTTTTTGCCTAGTTATCATTAGCTTATTCTTGAAATTGCTTATTAATCATAGCAAACAATCAAATTGTTTTAACTTTGCTAAGATATCTCTGTTATCTTGTCTGAGTAGTAAGTAACATTTTCTTTAAGGAAACATGAGATGCTCAAAACTTCCTTAACGTATCTGTGAAACTTTTCAGACTTAAAAGCTTTCTGCTTCAATTCTTGTACTGTAAAAGGTACATATGTATTCATATTGTTTTTTTCCATATATCAGTAAAGTCAAAACAAAGCTGTTCGGGAGCCAAAGGAAGTTATGCTTGCATTCTGCAAATCCGTTTTGTTCTTGACAGTTCTTCTTGTTCGGTGCTTGAATAATAAAATCAGGAAAAGTAATGTGGTGATTTATCTTGTACCTCTGAAGACTTTCTGTGGCAGTGAAAGGTCCTACCAAAGCCATCTCCACAGTGACTGCCTGGTTCTGGCCTTGTGTTGCTGATAGAGCTGCTGACTGCAGTAGGTTATATGTTGAATAGGTTGTCAGTGGTCTGAGCAAGAACTGCAGGAAACGGAGCGTGAGTTTTAAGCCTTACTTCAGATTTCTGGCTCAGCACTGCTTTGCATGTGAGGGAGCTGACAGAGGGTTGAACCTCAGTCACGTTTGTACCTGAGCATGCCATTTTGGTGATACAGTCTGAGCGTAACTCATCACTTCTTTCATTTCCTCTGTTTTCTGAAGTCTTGTGGTAGCTTAATCTGTTGCTGAGTTAACGAGCAACGAGCTGAGTTCTAGCTCAGCTAATCTAAATGTATGTACTTTTGTTTGAAATGTAATCAAACAATACTGTTTGCTACTAGGCAGCTGGTCTGCCTGCCTGTAGGTTGCAGGAAACAAACAAATTATCCTTTTCTGCCTCATTTTTTCCCTTCCACTAATATTAAGGTCCTCTAAAGGCAGTTGTGAAGTGATTTTAACTGGGGTTGTTACTTAGGTTTCTTTTGATCAGACCTGATTTTCCACTTTGGAACTACAGCCTGCGTTGTGTCGAAGCACTAGAGTTCTGTATTTAGTGCTTGATGCTCATTCTTTCTGAAGTTTGCATTATCTTTATCTAATACTACAGTTATAAAATGGAGAGGATGTTTGCTATTTTTAAACTTGTTTTAAGCAGATCCTGAGCTGCTGATTATTTTAGTATGAAATCTTTCTGAAGGAAAAGGGTGTGAAAAATTTGAGGGAGGAAAAAACAAGATCAGTTTACTGCCAGGTTAAGTGTATAGCGATACCTTTCTGCTTCCTTAAAACACTTTGCAACATTTCCATAAGCAGATCTTTAAAAGAGTAAGCACCTGTGTGGTGTACAGTTGTCATTTGTGAAAATTTGTAGCCTCTTTCACTGAATTAGTATTTTTCATGAGTTTTGGTGGGACTTACAGGCTTCAAGGCCTAAACTCTTCTTGTACCTAATCAATGCAGAGGATACATCTGCGCTCTTATATAAATAGATTGTGTCTCTAAATCCTAGCTCTAATTCTAGAACATTAGTCCAGAATGAGTTTAGGAACATAATCGAGTTTATAAATGTGTTTATCCAGACACAGGGTGGAGCTGTGACCGCATCCTGTCACTTCTTGGTGTATTGTACCACTGGAGGCCTTGAGCCAGTTCACCCTCTCTGTGCAGAGGTTTAACACAGGCTGGCCAGTGCTTCTCTTCCCTTCATCTCACAAAATGCTCTCTACTACCCAGTTGCCTCATAATCTGTTTTGCTTGACTCCGGGATGGAAATGTCAGTGCTCTTACACAGTCACTGGGGAATATGTTGCTGGGAACTGTGTAAGGCTATAGTCTTTCCAAACAAAAGTGCAGAGTTCTTACCGTTTTGTAGTGTGAAGTAGCTCTTCTTGAATTTTGCTTTATTTGACTGACTTAGTATTCAAAAAAAACCCCCAACTCTGAGATAAATCTAATCAGTTTGCCCTAGTTCTGTGTTGAAGTCATGCAGAGGTGCTAAATTTTGTGGCGAAGTGTAACACTATGCCAGGACTCATTTGAGAGATTTGGAAATCTTTTGATGAACCTGTGGTGAGTGACAAGTTGAAATGAAACTTGAAACCATATGACTTCAAATTTTACATTTGAATGATTTCAATACTTACAAAAATCTGAGAATATGTTGGTTTGGCTGTATTTTCTGCCTTTGTTAATAATAAAATGAACATAAGGACAAATATTTCTCTTTTGCAGAATGCCAATAGCACTTCTATTTATTTTATTTTTAATAGCAATTTTAAAATTCACTGAGATAATTTTTCTTGGAGTTCTATTAATTACAAAAACAACACATACAGAAGGTGGAAGATGCTCTGTTGCTTCATGTAGTCTAGAGGACTGTGCTTTTAGAGTAAGGATAGTTCATAGGCGATGCCTTCTCATCTGTAGGCTTGAGCCTGTATATTTCTGAACTATAAATGTCTTATCTTTCCAACTGGAAGTATGTACCTTAGTCTGACTCATGTTGGCAAAATAAGTTTCAATTGAGAGAATATACCATACCTATCTGTCTGCCTGATGGGATATGTAGGCTACAGGAGTAATTTTACTAGAGTAAATTGTTTTTGTAATTGTTACTCATGTGATGAGTTTGTTGTCTGTCATGATAAAAAACCTTCTGTCATCTGCGGAGACACTGAAAGGAAATAAGACAATTTTAAATCCTTTTTTTATGCTCTATACATAGCATTTAGGAAATAAGACACTCAAATAGCTGGATTTGAGTTATGATATTTCAGTTGTTTTGGAGTATGCCATATGTGACTATAATTTGTATTCTTATATCCTTTGACATAAGTAGAACTTCAGCCTAACTTGAGTTATGACTGTTTTTAGTCCTGTGGGTTGTAGGTCATTCTCCCCCCAACCACCCCTCAATGGTAGAGCTAGCCTGATAGCAACGGTAGAAACTTGAAGTTCTTTAAAAATATGCTTTTCATATTACGGTAATGTTACCTGGCATAGCTATGTTTGTACAGTGCGATATTTATTTCAGAGTTTTTATTGATCTTCTTATTCACTTTTACACCATGTACTGCGCACTAAGACATGAAGTATTCCAGGTCCCAGCATTTACCAGTTATTGGAGACTGAATTTAGAGAAGGCTAAAATAACAGGCTTTGACTGGTTTAGAAATTAGATGAGGCTGGAGTAAGAAATGTTTTGAAAGCTTTTTTTAAGGGTTGTCAGGAAGTGCTATTCTTTTTTACCTTTTTCCCCCTCTGCAAACTGATTGTTGGAAGAAAGTCCCTTCCCAGAATTCCAGTTACGTTGGTTCACATCCATGTATCTGTACAGTTCCTCTCATGTAGCTCTTCCTGTAGGGGTTGAGTGCTAATAGCCACGCAGGAACATGGACTTGAATATATTGACAGATGCTTTATTTAGCCAGCTTGAAGTTATTTTCATATTAATTTCTTTGTTTCATGGAGATATCTTTACTTTTATTTAGTCAGTCATGTCTATTTTCTCTTTTTTTTTACTGTTTCTGCTAGGATAAGTTGGATATCTGACATTATTGTGGTGGTCTCTCCTGAAAATATTGAAACAATGAAGTCTATCGTTGAAAAATATGGCCACAAAAGAGTTACAGTAGTAAAAGGTGGAATAACTCGTCACCGGTCAATTTTCAATGGACTGAAAGTATTTGCAGAGAATGAATTTTCCAACCGTCTGCTCCAGAAACCAGAAGTAGTGATTATCCATGATGCGGTGCGGCCGTTTGTTGAAGAAGACATTCTTTCCAAAGTGGTTATGGCTGCTAAAGACCAGGGGGTACGTACTGCACTCCAGTGCATTTCTCCAGTGTTCTTTATACTGCACAGTGGGCAAACATGATTGATAAATAAACCTCCGGTGAGACCTTGTAGTGGTCTTCCAGTACTTGAAGGGGCCTGACAGGAAACATGGGGAGGAACTCTTTTTCAGGGGACTCTACATCAGTGATAGGATGAGTGATAACAGTTTCAAGCTGAAAGACAGTAAATGCAGATTAGGTGTTAGGAAGAGACTATTTTTGGTGAAGGTGGTGAGACACTGACACGAGTTGCCCGGGGAAGCTGTGGAAGCCGCCTCCCTGGATGTATTCAAGGCCAGGTTGGATGAGGCTTATCCCTGTCTAGTGGAAGGTGTCCCTGGCAGCAGGGCTGAAACTAGACGATCGTTAAGGCCCCTTCCAACCCAAACTCTTCAGTGACTATGTTTGTTTTTAAGCAGAACAAATTTAGAATCCCTACTACGCAGAAATGTCAGATGGGGGAGGGACCCATTTTCAAATGCTGCATGTGTTATTTGCCACGGGGAATACCATCAGTAAGAGATTGGATCTAGAGTCAATTTTTTAGCTGAAAAGTAGATTACATAAGGATTTACCTTTTTTTCCATGCAGAATTCTCACCTAATCAGAGTGATGTATCTCTTTTAATACTAGATTAGTTCAGTTAGTGATTACTAATAATAGCTAAAGAGAGTACTAAACTAGTTGACTTGCAAACTTTGTGTTTGTATCTCAAACTTTTATGCAAATGAGCAGCAAGAGATCTATCTCTGTATTAATGCTAAATTTTTCTAGAATCTGTAAGCACTGCAAACTACTGGGAAAAAGGGGAAGCGGGAAGCCTCCAGCTTTAGGTTGGAATTCCTTCTAGACATCACAGCCTCTGAGAATGGGGAATATTCACAGGAACCGGAAAGACTTCTGAGAAAGTAAATGATACGTAAAGGGAAGGAGTTGGTAGAAGTTGTGTTATGCAAGTAAAATGGTAGAGTTTTTAAAGATATGCACTTGCAACAAGAAGAACTGGTCAATAAACTGGCAGATAGACGTGTAAGAAATCATGACTTAGGCACAGGCTTGCTTGTACAAATTGCTATCTTTACCTTGTACTTCAGTTCTCCATGAATAAGATTGTTAAATGTTTTCCTACTTCAAGGAGGTGATTTGAGGTAGAAGTCAATAGTGACAGCAAATTATCTGGGTCCTAGAAGGCTAGGAAAATCTACCACTGCTTGTCCTTTTCAGGAAATGAGGTTAAAATTAAGCTAAGCCAATTTGCAGCTTTGACAGTGGAATGTAATAAACAGTCCAAAGAATGAGTTGTGGTATTTCCTTAGCACTCCTTAACCTTTTTTTGAAAACTTACAGTGTAAAAGGAGAATGTACCACTTGTTAAAATATTTATTGTGCAAATTAAATGATGGAAGGTCTTGCAAAACGTGTTAGAAATTGAAAGATATTGAACTTCTTACTAGTAGGTCTGTGATTTTGTAGGTTGACTTAATGAGAAACAGCAATAATTAGAAACTCTGCTCTATAGTTTTCAGTGGTACAGAACACAAGTTTCCAGTCATTAAAACTTAAATTAGAATTTTAACAGAGTTTTTGACATTTCTTATATAGCACAAAATAGTTTTCTGGAATTCTATGCCAAAGACTTTAAAATAGATCTGCTTTGTAAATCTATTTTAAGCGAGGTTCCTGGAGTAGTAGAAGAATGGGGTTAATTGTACTGATGTTGAGTTGGAATGAGAATTAACATTTTCTGAATGTATTTGTGTTTAGGCATCTTTGCATATTTTGGTATATCTCATTTGCCTTTGTATTTCAGTTTATTAACTTGTTCACTTTTTCTTGAAACTTGTATAGTTTTTTCCTGGTTTTCTTTTTAATTGGCTCTAAGACATTTTCAGTAAAACAGGAGTGACTCAAGGCATTCCCCATGACTTTCTCACGGCAGTGTACTTAGTTCTTCTAAACTACTGGCTTGCAACTACTTCCTTAGCTAGATCACTGAATTGTCATTTGATCTCAAAAATTCACCATAGCTTTTTCCATTGTATAATGTCAGTCTGAAAGGTGTGTGGTATTTATTTGCTCCATAATGGTTTCCTGTGTTGACTTAGATCCACTGAATTCAGTGAGGCTCGGCCTTCACAGAACTGGACTCCAAAAACTGTGAGCTGTTGTTTTTACCTGACAAAAAAGCAATTGGATTAAGGAACATGAGAAGAACTTCATTTTATGCTAACAAATTGGAAAAGCTTCCTGAAAGGGAGAGAGGTGGCAACTTCATTTGAGAACTACAGAGTTCTGAAGAGCTAAATGACTGGGAAGTTAAGATGCTTTCTCAAAACTGACATGCATGGTGTTGAATAGCAGAAAAAAATTGATCAAGAGAACCTATCACCTTCAGTTCTTCCTGTAATCAAATTCTTTGCATATCTAAAAGGGAGTCAACTCTTCAATCTTTCAGTACAAAAAGTAATTACTTCCTTTTGCATTATGTAGAAAGGTACAAAACCTGGCAGAAACATCCTACTAAATCACTAATGTAGTAGGGGTAATGCTGTATTGTTGTTCATCTGCATACCATATAGATAGCATAATTATGAGAAGCTTTCATGTTCTTTAAAACGGCAATTGATCAAGTAAGTTATTGCGCTTCTAGCTGCCAATTGTCAGACAAATAAACTGCTTTATTACACTTAGTAATCGGTTTGTTATTTGCCTCTAGGAATCAAAATGTGCACCTTATCCAGAACTAATAAATTATGCATTAAATCCTCCAAACAATCCCTTGATTATATGAAAAAATTACTTTGTAACCAATTAAATTCCATTTATGTTTTTGGGTAAGTTTGTCATTTTAATTACATGTTTCTAGAAACAAATTCTTTATTGCTAGTAAAAGCTGGGAAAAGTGGAAGCTTCAGAAGGCATCAGTCCAAAGCCTCTAGCAGTATCTCATTGCCAACATTGCATTTTAAACAACATAACTAAATAGAAAAATGCTTACAAGAAAAAAAATTGGTAAGGTGGGAGGGAGCTTGTCAGTTCTGCTATTGAGAGTTAAAAAAAAGAGGTGTATGCAGTCAAAGACTCTTTCCATAGTTAATATAAACTAGATTTGAAAGTATACTTTATTTCTTTGGGAGGACAGACTCAAAGCAGCATTCCTAAAAGCTGATCTCTGGAAGCTGTCTAACATCATTTATTATCAGCTTTGGGAAGGCTGTGAACAAAGTATACACGCCAGTACTGATGTACGGTGCTACTCAGTCTCATGGACTCTTACTCACATAGACAATCAGCCCAAATAATACCCCCAGAGAGAAAGCACTTCATAGTACGCTCAGTCGGTTCCTGTATCTGAGTTTACTCTGAATTCTGTGGTTCTGTCTTACCCTGTTGGAAGGCTGGAGCAGAAAGCAAGTACCCATACACACATGGTTCTTTCATCCAGTGGGATAGCAAAATGAAATGCTTTATGCGTGATTGCTGAGTGGTATTAGCAAAACGTGGTGGGGGCAAACCAAAAACCACCTTTTTCTCCACTGAAGGTGAGGTTAGGTGGATAAATAGGCTGATCTGGCGTGGTGTGCTTGAACGGGGACAGCAGGGCTGCAACAGTTCTGCTCGCTTTGTCCTTTGTTCTTGTGCTCTTAAAAGCAATTGTCTTTTTATGTTATCTCCTCTGGTTTTGCCATATATGGAATATTTTACACATGATTTTGGTCCCCTTTGTTATACAAAAGATAATTTTAGCCACCTGTAAAGTCCACATCAGTAATGGATCACTTCTAATTTTATAGACTGGGTCATCTGAAGTCGTCCTGTGCCTGTATTCTCTGAAATTCTGCTTCCATTTTATGTTTTGATACTTTGGGGGCCTCCTGCTGTCCTGTCAGACACTTGTGCAAAAGTGGAATCAAGAACTGGTGACATTACTATCTTGACATGATTTTTATTCCACTGATAGAATGAGTTTGTTAGTTTAGAAGATTCTGACTTATGCCAATGCAAAAATAGATTTTGATGAATTGTAGGGGGGTTATATAGCAACTGTAGGAGAAAACAACATTTGAAGAGCTATATTATTGTGAAGATCAGAATCTGTTCCGTAGCCCTGAAACTTCGGTGAATGCGTGAAGAAATCAAATGTAGTTTTCCTGCTGTATGGAAAATAGTTATACAATGCATTATTCCATTTTGAACTCTGTAGTAATGGATAATTGTGAGAAACATGCTGATGTTTCCATAGTTTATGGCATTATTGGTCCCATAGAAAGTTATAACATTCTCAGCCAGGTCATTAATTGTTTTCTGTATTGAATGGAGAACTAATGCATTGTTAGCAAATAAATACTTGAAGTCTTTGGCTTAACAAGATGCGGTATTTGGTGATGGGAAAGCACTGGTGAGGGGAGAAACAATTCCGTCATTTCCCAGGCTCAGTGTAAGGGATTTAGATGATTCACTGCATTCGTTAGGAAGGATGCAACTCAACTGAAATAGTTAATAGACAGAAACTTAAATTATAATCTCCCTTTTTTCTTAGCAGCATTTCTGTGTTGTACTAACAGAGCCAGCTGTGCCTGATACAACTAGTATTTAATAATTTTAAAAAGGTGACTTAATCCCATGGTTTTTAGCTTCTGGATGTCTATACGTACAGTAATTTTTACATTACTTTTTTTAGGTAGGAGTAAGTTATCCTGGAAATAAATATTGAGCATACCTTCCTGTACTTAAGTGGTTGCTGAAGTCATTTTTATGTAATGTCTATAAAATGCACCTCCTTTAAATTTAGAGAAACTACCTATATGACACTGCTCTTGATTCGGGCTAATTAAAATCTGCATGCTTCATCTGAGAAAACACTATGACTTTGGGAAATGAAGCAGCCTTTAGCAATGATGTGTCTATTTAGTCACTCAAATTTCTCCTTCCCGTAGCAGATCAAAGGAGCAGGGAATAGTTCCTAAGGGAAATCTCA